GAGGATAGGCTATAACTGTAGCACAAGAGCTGCTGTGCAGGAGCCAACCCTATGGAGCAGGACTTGCTTCAGTGGGGCTTTAGTGTTCACTGAGTCTGCCCCTTGAGTGTATTGCTTGTGGAGGTTGTAGGGTTGTAAACTAGTGTGATCTGAAGCTGACCGACAGGTGCACTGCCTTAGGGGGCCTCCCAGTAGGTGCAAATTCAGCCTCTGTCTGTGCCCTTCCCAGAGCCACCCAGCATGAGCTACACAGCAATCTGTAGGTGGCTGCTACTTGTGTTGAGCTTGGAGCTGCCCAGGAGGAGCCAAGCTATGAAACAAGGCTGGCTGCTGCTAGTGCTGGGCCTAGGGCCACTTAGCAAGAGGTATGGGGTATGCTGAGGCCAGCTGTTGCTTGTTTGAGAGATTTTAGGAAAGGCTGAAGCATGAGGCAAGAGAGGCCAATTGTGTGGAAAAGCCACTAGAAATGGCTTGGATGAGCCTGCAATTAGGGTAGCTCAGGGTCTCCAGGAGTCACTAGAGCAGGGTGAAAAGTGTCAGCCAGGTTTATGGAGACTCATATATGGTGCAGCCTTTCAGCTCTGTGCCAGGATGGCTCATCAAAGGAACACTGGCCTCTGCTAGCACTTCTGTCTGGGAGAAAGCTGCTCTTCCAGCCCTCACCCTGATTCCAGGCCAGTTAGTTCCTCCTCAAATGTCCCAGGCTCCTTTCAAGCTGCTGCCCCAGTGCTGGAGCTCAGAGGGAGTGAGTCCTAGTAAATCTGTGCACAGGCAGTTTAAGAGGCTGGGACTCCAACACCCTCAGTCTCCCTCAGTGTCAATCCCCACTGGTTGTTACAGCCAGAAGTTATGGGGACTTCTCTTTCATGGCCTAGGGGGCCTGATGTAGGGCTGGGACCCTTAGCTCCTGCAGGAAACCTCCACAGCCAAGATATTCGTAATTCTGTCCCATGTCTCCCTCCCCATGGGTCTTGAGCTGCTTCTTCTTTAATTCCCTAGTCCTATAACTAGGGAATTAGTCCTAGATTCAGCTAGATTTCAGGTGGTTCTGAATGATGGTTGTTTTGTATTTTAGTTGTAATTTTGATGTGGTTATGGGAGGAGGTGAGTACCGTGTTTACCTATGCTGCCATTTTTGACCAGATGCTCCCTCTTGTTTCTTGAGATAGGCCTGTAATGATATAAACTTCCCTCTTATTACTGCTTTTGCTGCAACTCAGAAGTTTTGATATGTTGTATTATGATTTGCCTCTATATATCTTTTGATCTCACCTTTTATTCCTTCTTTGACCCAGTCATATTTTTAGTATTATGTAGGTGAATCTGCACGTATTTATGGGTTTCTTTTCCCTTTTTGCTGTTGGTTTCTAATTTCAAGGCATCATGGGCAGAGAATATGCTTAGTATAATTTCGCTCTTCTTAAATTTGTTGAGGCTAGTTCTGTGACCCAACATATAGTCTGCCCTTGAGAATGTTCCATGTGCACTGGAGAAGAATGTGTAACCTGATGCTCTGGAATGAAAGGCTCTGTGAATGTCAGATATATCCCTTTGGCCTAGAGTTTCATTTAAGGCTGATATTTCTTTATTGATTTTCTGTTTGGTTGATCTGTCTAGAGCCATCAATGGAGCATTTACGCCTCTGACTATGACTGTGATTTTGTCAGTTTCTCCCTTTAGTTCTGTGAGCAGATGCTTTGTATATCTTGGTGCTCCATGGTTGGGTACATATATATTAAGAAGTGTTATGTTTTCTTAACACAGTTTCCCCTTTATCATTATAAAATGTCCAACTTTGTCTCTTGTTATCTTTGTTATCTTGAAATCTGTTTTGTCAGATAGAAGTATGGCTACACCTGCTTTCCTGTGGATGTTATTTGCTTGAAGAATCATTCTTGCACCCCCCTTTTTTTTTAAACATATCTTTACTGATTTCAGAGAGAGGAAAGGAGGGAGAGAGAGATAGAAACATCAATGATGAGAGAGTCATTGATTGGCTGCCTAGCCCGCAACCTGGGCATGTGCCCTGACCAGGAATCGAACCCCGATCTCCTGGATCCTAGGTCGATGCTCAACCACTGAGCCATGCCTGGCTGGGCATGCACCCTTTCATTTTGAATAAACCTTTGTCTTTGCAACTCAGGTGTGTCTTTTGAAGGCAGCATATGATTGGGTTTTGTTTTTTGATCTCCTCTGCTACTCTGTACCTCTTTATTGGTGAATTCAGTCCATTTACATTTAGATTAATTATTGACATATGAGGATTTCCTATACCCATTTTAATTTGTATTTTCCAGTAGCACTGTGCCTCCATTGGTTCTTTTCCTTTGTGTTTCTGTCTGTTGTTTTTGTTTGGTGGTATTCCATACTTCTTTCCTCTATGTCCTCATTTTTAAGGCTATGTGTCTTAATTTTGGGGTTTTTCTGTGTGGTTACCTCTAGGTTTGTTAAAAATATAGTTGCATATATACAGTTTTTTCCTTTTTGAGTGCATCTGATCCCCATTCTCTGTTGCCAGTTCAGACCTTTACTGCATCCTCTTTTATGTTTTTAATGTCACAAATTATCTGTGCTATGCTGTAAGTTTTTTGGTGATCTTTCTTGTGGTGTTGTGACCTTATGCTCTTTGTCTCAGATAAAATAACCCCTTTGAGTATTTCCTGCAATGGAGCTTTTCTGGTGATAAAATCCCTGTTTCTGTATGTCTGGGAAAGTCTTTATTTCTCCTTCATATTTTAAGGATAACTTTGCTGGATGTATTATCCTTGGCTGGTAATTTCTCTTTCAGTTGTCTAAATTTTTGGTTCCACTCTCACCTGGCTTGTAGAGTTTCTTCTGAGAAGTCGGATGAAATTCTGATGGGTTTTCCTTTGTAGATCACTTCCTTTCCCTGGCTGCATTGAGAATTTCTTGCAGGTAATTTTTGACAGTTTTAATAAAATATGCCTTGGAGAGGACCGCTTTGGATTGAGGTAACTAGGTGTTCCGTTTGCTTCTTGGGCTTGAAGATCTACTTCTTTCCAGAAGTCTGGGAAGTTCTCAATTAGTATTTGTTTGAATAGGCTCTCTGTTCTCTTCTCCCTCTCTTCTTCTTCTGCTATGCCTATTGTTCTTATATTGCTTTTTTTCTTTTTTAATTCTATCTGAAGATACTTTTTAGAGAGAGTGGAAGGCAGGGAGGAAGGGGAGGGGAGAGAGAAACAACAATGTGAGAGAGACATATAGATTGGGTATGGGTTGCCTCCTGCTTGCAGCCCCAGGGTGGAGAGAACCTACAACCCAGGAATATGCCCTTGACCAGGAATTGGACCTGTCACCATTTGGTCCATGGGCCAACACTGTAAGCACTGAGCCAAACCAGACAGGATCATATTGCTATTTCTGATGGAGTCTGATAGTTATTGTAGAGCTCTTTCTTTCTTTCTTTCTTTCTTTCTTTCTTTCTTTCTTTCTTTCTTTCTTTCCTTCCTTCCTTCCTTCCTTCCTTCCTTCCTTCCTTCCTTCCTTCCTTCTTTCTTTCCTTTCTTTCTTTCTTTTCTTTCTTTCTTTCTTTCTTTCTTTCTTTCTTTCTTTCTTTCTTTCTTTCTTTCTTTCTTCTCAGGTCTCTTTCTTCTTCCCTCTGCATCATTTCTAGATTCCAATATTCAGTGTCACAGATTCTTCCCTCCATCTGGTCAGCTCTGTTTCCTAATCTTAGTAGTTCACTCTCAGTCTTCTTAATTGCATGCTTCACTGACAGGATTTCTGATTGGTTCTTTTTTAAAGTTTCAGTCTCTTTGGTAAAGTACTCATTTTGTTCATCACTCTGTTTTCTGAATGCATTGAATTGACTGTCTGTATATTCTCTCATCTCCTTGAATATTTCTGGAACTGCAATCCTGAATACTCTGTCATTTATATCACATATTTTCATGTTTTCTTTCTAAGCTTCCTTGTTACCATGGTTATTCATGGTATTTGCTGGTCTCCTTTGCCTAGGTATCTACCGTACTATTTACCTTTCTCTAGCAGTTTTCCCTGAAGAGGTCTTTCTACCATTGTCCAGTAGATTGTGCTGGATCACAAGATTTTTACCTCTGTGACCTCCCAGAACTGTCCTCCTTTGGCTTCCATCAGACAGTACAGCAGCACTGCTTGGGGTGGGGTTTGTTTTGGCCTCACAGTAATGGTGACCCCAGACCTCCATGGGGTCCTCCCCATAGGCCCCACCTGGGGATCAATCACAGAGGGAAGCAGCAGTTCTACTGCAATAGCTTTTGGTTTGCAGATAATGTGCCCCTGCACCCAACACCAAGGGCCAGTTTGGGGAGGCAAGTTTGGGGAGTCTAAGGGGCGGCAGTGATCTGTGGCCTGGTTTCTTTGTTCTGAGGCACCATCCCGGACAGCAGATAGACATAGCAGAACCCCTACCCTGTGTCCATGCCTGGGTGTCTGCTGGCTAAGCTGCTGTTCCCACCACTTTTCCTGATGGAGAGCCACCAAGACTCTATGTTCCTCCCTGCCCAGCATCTCCTGCTATCACAGGTTTCCTCCCCTCTCCAGGACTGAGCTTGTTGCCATCTCCCAGCTGCAGGGCTGCAGCTGTGGCCATCTGGGCCCTTCTCTTGTTTTGCCTCCTTGTTTGTTACCATTTGCCCACCTTTAGATGCTTCATTGTGCAGGTCTCTCAGGTGTGCTTCTATACTGAGCAGAGAATCCTTTGCTGAGTTATAGTTGATTAACTTGTGTTGAAACTGAGGGGATCTCTCACGCCGTCATTCTCTGATGTCACTGTGAGAATTAGTTTTGAAATAGTCCCTTCACCTGCCCTATGGGCTAGCCACTGTGCCTCAGTTTCTGTATCTGTAGAATGACTTAACAGTGCACGCACACTTTCTTGGTGAAATATTGTGCATAAGAGGCTGGTGCACACACACACCTGTTTTGCTTGTTGTTAAGGAAACAGCTGTAGATATAAGCATATTCACTCAAGTTTAATCCTACTGCACATCTCTTCCCAGGCCTCTCCATAATGCAATGGATGATGATCATTTGGAAATTCTTCACTTGCTCCTCTCCTACAGTGCTGACCCCACTTTGCCTACCTACTCAGGTAGAACTGTTATGGAAATGGCTAACAGCAAATCTGTGGAAATGTTCCTGGCAGGTAGGTAATTTCAAGAAACAAGAATGACAGTAATTATTTTGGTGATTAGCCATTGGTTCTATATTTACTTTCACCTATTTTTCCTAAAGTTTAAGATTTCTTAAAATTACTTGCCATTTCTATAAATGCATTTTAACTTAGGTATGCTTCATAGTTTTACATTTTGAGTCTATGTGAAATGGAAATCTCAAACCTCCCCTTCATGAAGTTAGTTGCATGGTTCTCTAGTCAGCAGATAAGCTGCTGTTTAAACCCAGGTCTTTAGAGGATCCCTAAAGTAGAAGAAGCACAAGGTTTCCATAAATCGTTAAATTCTTTATTATATAGTTAATGCCAAAGAATGCCACTGACTCACATGGTAATAAACAGTTGTTTATATTAACTTACACTTACTTACTGAAAAAAAATCTTAGTCAGAGGTAAATGTAACATTTCTTTATTTTTGTGTATGATAGCTAAAATATTCTTAGCTTTCCAGTCTTGCTTCTGTTGGTCAGCTGGGATGTTAGAAGTGATCTGTTCCTAGGCAAGGTGAGTGATTAGGTATTTTGGCTCATATCAGAGAACAGGTTGTTGGAGAATTGCATCCTTGTGCAGCAAGGGACTTTATGTAAGAAGTAACATGCCAGCCTATTCTGAATTTATTTTAAAAATGCCATTTAAGTCTGTTAACATTTGTTCTATGAGCAGGTTTTATATGGTTATTTTTTAAATTTATATAATTTTTCTTAAATCTTTTAAAATATTTTTTTGCATTTATTCTGGTGGCGTTGGTTAATAAAGTTATGTAGGTTTCAAGTGTATAATTCTATAATGCCTCATCTGTATATTGTATTGTGTGTTCACCACCCCAAGTGAAGTCTCCTTCTATCACCACGTATTCTCACTTTACCCTCTCCTACCTCCCCTTCTCCCTTTCCCTCTGGTAACCACCATACTGTTGTCTCTGTCTATGGGGTTTCTTTGTTTTGCTTTTTGCTTAATCCTCTCAACTTCTTTCATCAAGTCCCCCAACTGCCCTCCCCTCTGACAGCCGTCAGTCTATTCCATGTATGCATGCCTCTGTTTCTATTTTGTTCTTCAGTTTATTTTGTTTGTTAGATTCCACATATAAGTTAAATCATATGGTGCTTGTCTTTCTCTGACTGGCTTATTTCCCTTAGCATAATGCTCTTCAGGTCCCTCCATGCTGTTACAAAAGGTAAGATTTCCTTCTTTTTAATGCTGTGTACTATTCCATGGTATAAATGTACCACAGCTTTTTTCATCTACTCATCTACTGATAGGCACTTGGGCTCCTTCCAGATCTTAGCTATTGTAAATTGTGCTGCTGTGAATGTAGGGGTGCACATATCCTTTCTGATTAGTGTTTCAGGATTCTTAGGGTATATCCCCAGAAGTGGGATAGCTGGGTCAATTGGCAGTCCCATTTTAATTTTTTAAGTAATGGCCATACTGTGGCTGCACCAGTCTGCATTCCCACCAGCAGTGTACTAGGGTTCCCCTTTCTCCACACCCTCTCCAGCAGTTGTAGTTCGTTGATTTGTTGATGGGAGCCATTCTGACAAGTGCAAGGTGATACATCATTTTGGTTTTGATTTGCATCTCTTGGATGGTTAGTGAAACCAAGCATCTTTTTATATGTCTATTTTATTTTTAATTATGGTTACCCTAACATTCAACATTAAAATTCCCCTTAAGCTCTTTCAAGTGTACAGTTCAGTACTGTAAAATATATTCAGTGTTGTACAACCGATCTCTGGGGCTTCTTCATCTTGCAAAACTGAAAATTCATGCCCATTATACATAAATTTTACTTCCCTTCTCCCCCACATCCTCTGGCAAGCAGCATTCTCCTTTCTATTTTTATGATTTTCACTACTTTAAATGCCTCATATGAGTGGAATCTTACAGTATGTGGCATTTTGTGACTGTTTTATTTCACAGAGCATAATTTTTCAAAGTTTATCCATGTTGTAACATATGAAAGAGTTTCCTTTTTAAGGCTGAATATAATATCCATTGTGTGTATGTGCCACATTTTGTTTGTCCGTTCATCCATGGTTGGACATTTGGGTTGTTTTCACCTCTTAACTATCATGAATAGTGTTGTCATGAACGTGAATCTGAATATATCTGAAATCCAACTTTCATTTATTTTTTGTATGTATTTAGATGTGAAATTGCCCATTCACATAGTAGTTATATTTTAAATTTTCTCAGGAACATCCATAGTGTTTTCCAAAGTGGCTGTACACTCAGGTATGTGCCCCCCCAGGGTCAAAACTGCGACCTCCCAGTCCATAGGATGATGCTCCAACCAATTGAGCCTCATGGGCCAGGGTTGGCTGTACTGTTTTACATTTGCATCAGCAGAGCACAAATTTCCAAATTTCTGAAGATGATCACTAACACTGTCTTCTGTTTTTATTCACAGTGACCATCCTAATGGATATGAGGGAATATCTCATTGTAGTTTTTATTTGCATTTGCCTAATGATTAAATAATGTTGAGTATCTTTTCATGTGCTTATTGGCCATTCATAAATCTTCACTGGAGAATTGCTTATTCAAGTTCTCTGTCCATTTTTAATGGCTTATTTGCTTCTTTGCTGACTTGTAGAAGTTTCTTATATCTTCTGGCTCTTAAACCCTTATCAGATATATGGTTTGCAAATATTTTTATTCAGTCGGTTGCCTTTTGCTCTGTTGTTTCATATAATGTGCAGAAGTTTTGAAGTTTGATGTAGTCACATTTTTGTGCTTTTGCTTTTTGTTGCTGTGCTTTTGGTGTCATGACTAAGAAACTACCACTAAGTGCAAATTCCAGAAGCCTTTCCCCTCTCTTTTATACTTTTAGGTCTTCTGTTTTATCTCTTTAATCCATTTTGAGTTAATTTTTGCCTATAATGTAAAAAGAGTTCAGCTTTATTCTCTTCCCCTCACCATTTGTTGAATAGACTTTCTGTGCCACATTGTGTAGCCATAGCACCTTGTCAAAGATTCTTTGACAGTATATGTGGCTCTGTATTCTGTCCCTTTGGTTTGTATGTCTGTGTTTATGCCAGTACTATACTGTCTCAACGACTGCTACTTTGCAGTATGTCTTGAAATCAGGAAGTGTGAGTTCACCAACTTTGTTCTTTTTCAAGATTATTTTGGCTATTTGGGACCCCTTGAGGTTCCATATTAATTTTAGGACATATTTTTCTATTTTTGCAAAACACCCCCAAAAACTGTCATTGGAATTTTGATGGGGTTGCATTGAATTTGTAGGTGAACT